TGTGTGTGTGTGTGTGTGTGTGTGTGTGTGTGTGTGTGTGTGTGTGTAGAATTCAATTGCAAATTGTTAAAAGCATCGCCTTATTCTGCCATTGAACCAAATAACAGCCATAGGCAAAGCATTGATACCCAGTTAACTGGAATAATTGCAGACGATACCCTGGACGGTCCCTTTAGCAACTGTACATATTTCTTTCTAGAGAACTCTAATGACTTTCGTTGGACACTAGGGAATTGAAACCTGTGACCCAGTTAAGCTGTCGTTAGCGTGCTCTGTAGAAGGATGAATTATTTGACTTGGGTTTCATCTGAGCGGAATTTGTCCTCACTGTGTGCAGATTGTCGTGTGGCACCGGAAGCTCTAAAAACTGTGACACTAACAGTGAAACAAACCGAGGGAAGACTGTCGCTTTCTGCACTTTGGCCCCATCTACCAGTCTTTGTAAAGGGCAATATTTTAACACTAATGTTTCTCAGGTATATACTCAGCTAGTCTAGGATGGGTGCGCACATCAGTGAAAGGATCGAAGAAGAAGGTGGCCTGTGGGTGGCTGTCATTTCTCCTACTGCCACAGATAGAAGTTTTTGGAGGTAGAAATGAAGTCCTTCACCACCTTCATATCTGCAAAGATGTCTGTACCATAAGCTGTCTTGACCCTTGGGGTATGTCCTAAGAGGTGGCAAACTGGATAGCTGGAAAGCCAGTCGCTAGTAGTTAAATTCTTTTTTTTCCTTGTCAATTTGCGAGCTAAGGTCATTGGGATTTTGAAGTGTAGTAGAGCAGTTAATACCTTTGAAAGAGTCCTGGAGAAGAAAAATGGATTCTAAACTGAATGCATAAATCTGCCATTTTCCTTCTCTGGTGTTGCTTTTTTCCACGTTAGAAGTTGAAAGCTCCACGCTGCACCATGTGTGCATGCCTTTGTTTCCTCATCTTGTAATTTGGAGAGGAAAGAAGTTGCCTAATGCCAGCAGTTAGTGATGGTATGTTAGAACGATGTGTGACAAAGTGTTATATGCACACTTCTGGTCCTGCCTGTCAGTCTTAGTTGTGACTGTTTTTCAGGAACTCATTTATTTCTTCTTTGTGCTGAAGATTTAATCTCTTACCCAGAAACTCACAAGCAGGATGGAGCATGTTCCATCTGGCATTGTCAGTGCAAGTTGCATTTCTTGTTTAGCAAAAAAAGGGAACCTCACAGAAATCCAAAGATAAGCAAAATTATATATATATATATATATATATATATATATATATATATATATATATATAAAATTTCAGGCTTTTAGGAGGTATTCTGGAATTTTGTGCTTTTTTTTTTCTTTTTCACTTTTTTTAAATGTCAAGAGAGTCATAGTTCCAATTCTCTTTGAATAGCATTTGTCACTTTGCCATGAAATACAGCATGCTAAGTTTATATGCTTTTACATATTAACTTTTTTTTAAGTCATGGACTCTTCAGGTTCTTCCTGAACTCTGTGCACAGATCCATTTATAATCTCCCTTTTCAGTATTGCTCTGTGTGAAGTGACTATAACACATATTACATGCATAGCTATGAATTCTGCACTGCCCTGTCTTTTTTTTTCTTTCTTTTCTATGAATACCTCTTGGGAAATGTTTCCAGTAAGTTACTTAACTTTATTTTGCTGCTAATTTGAGCATTAGCAGGTAACTTGCAGGTCTGGAGGCCATTTATGTTGAGGGTCGCTGGAATTTTAGACCCTTGCAGTGTTTTAAGACCTACACGTTCAGCCTTGTGAGAGTTACACTAGTGCTCCATGAAATTCACTTACTGTGAGCCTGTCGCCCATTGCACTCGATCCTGACTCACCACTTTGCTTGGTGTCCTCGTTTCACCGTACAGACGTCTGGTTTCCCAAAGCAGCCTTACTCTCCCCTGCTGGGATGTGACTGCCTTCGATCTTGTTGTTGCGTCCAACGGCACATTGACAGCCTGATCCATGTATAGCCACTTCGAGTTTTCCTGTATCACTTTTATTTCCTAAAAAGATGCACCAAATGTGGGGTTGTCAATATCCGGAATTGAGTGTTTGTCTGACTCTCTCATCTTTCTTTAATAGGTAAATCTCGTTTGAAATCTCCTATCTGAAGCTCTGAAACAGTCTTAGAATCATAGTTTGACTACACAGAGTGTTTTAATAACACTTTTTTGGGGGCTGTAAACAGTTAAGCATTAATTAGAATCTAGTTTAATTTTCACAGTGGTAAGTATTTTTACTCTTTGAGTCCTCCAGGAATGGATTTTCTGTTATGTCTAGTGTCTTTAAGAGAAAAAACACAACAACTCTACAAACTCCATTAAATTTCCATGGGATCTAGAAATAAATTTTCCGTATCTATAAACTTATGTCTATGGAGTTTAGTTCTTGTTTCAGATTTAAATGGAAAAAAAATCAGGAAATATTATGGCACTGTTTAGGCATCTTTAGGCTATTATATTTCTGTGGTTGGTAAACAATGAAAACTTCATTCTTAATTATTAGGTTGCAACCTTTAAGCCACAGAAAAGGATATTTTGCCCCAAAGTTTGGAGGTGCTCTTTGTGGTGTGAAGTACCCTATGGGAAAATTATGACTTGGGTCAGTTCAGTTCTTTGGTAGAGTTAGTGACTTGGTGTTTTGTTTTTTCTTTTCCCAGTGATGTTTGGTACAATGAGCTTGTATGTGTTTTGGGGTTAAAAATCACCTGCTGAGGATGGTAGACCTGGGTTCCTGGTTGACAACCAGGTGGGCCTGATGAGTAGTCATTTCCTGGTAGGCACAAAATAATCACCAACAGTAGCGTTGCATCTGTAATGTTTGTTTGCTTTTAAAAAACTTTATTCTTGATTTCTTTTCCTATAAACATCGAGTGCACTGAGTCTGTATCATTCCGTAGGACAGCCCTACACCTTGCCTTTAGTAATCCCTTATATAATGTGGAAGCACAAAGAAACTGTTAAGCTCATATCATCTCAAGACCGTCTCCCACCTTTTTTGTATTTTCTTATCCTAAAAGCAGCCTAACTGAAAGTAAGTAATGCTCCTCTGGACCAATAGAAATGTGGGAGTATTTGTGACATGGTAAAATGTTGTTAACGTCTGTGAGGCTGCTCTGACCTCTTCTGTAATCATTCTTTCGTCATTCATTCATTCATTTATTCATTCTGCAAACATTCGTTGAGGGCCTGCTTTGCTTGTAAAGGCAAGCGGAGAGCTTCGAGAGTTTGCTGTAGCTGAGGAGCCCTGGGAGCACAGCTGATGAACCAGGGGATGCCAGTGATGTCCTAGATGGAGCGACAGTCCTCCCGACAGAAAGATCAAGTGGATCCTGGTGATCAGCTGAGCCTGTGGGCCTCGTGAGCAAGTCTGTTCTGTTCTGGAAACCAAAAGTGGCCTTCTTCATCTTTGGAGACATTTTATTGTCACATCCTCTTTTTCAGACTGTGCTGTCTCTACTACTTAGGGATGTGGAAATCCATGACAGAGTCACTTTTCATTAGAATTCGGTCGTCCGCATTTGTATGAGCTGGATGTGGGGATTTTGGAGGGTGGGTGGGGAGAGAAATTGTCATCCCTCTAAAGTACCTGTCATGAAAAAACAGGAGCAGAACGTGAAGGAAACAGGTGGCAGCCTTTAGGAAAAAAGGAACAGAGAAGAGCTGTGAACAAAGCTCATTTTTTTCAAATAAACATGCTTTAAAAAGTAGATTGACATCCGACGTTAAATTTCATTCTGACAAATTACCGAACAGCTGAAGATACTGTTTCCTGTGTAGCTTATAATAATTATTGGATGCAAAGATAATTAGTGTCTCCGGGTTGGATTTTTGAGATAGTATGCAAACCATAAGCACAGTTTCAATAAAACGTATTCTGTGAGGTGTGTTGAACTTTGTATTATTTGGAATTGAGAAGAGCAAAACTTGCTGACAAACCAGTGCCTATATCATAAACATAAACATAAACACAGAAAATAGCTGTTACTGTACAGGCTGTCTGTCTGCAATTTCACAAAGGGTATGTCGTTGCTAAACCTGACTACATATTTTGGGGGGGAATCCCATGCTTTTATTTAAATGAACACTCAGTCTCATACTGCCTTTTGATCAACTCCCAAAGTGTTTTTTGCAGCTGCATTTTAAGCATGACCAATCATTTTTCCCCCAAATAATGAAAATAATTTTGCATGGCCTCCATCTAACCCAGAAAGCATGCTCTTACTGCCTATGCAAGCAACTAATAAAAAAATACAGACTATTTAACACTCAACATAAGTTTAAAAAAAAAACCCACACAACACAATTCTTAGATTATGGAGCTCTATTTTTGAATTTGTAATTTTTAAAATGTGGCTTAATCAGTATCAAAGAACATGAATGTGATATCTTGCTTTGCACGTGTTTCTCTTTGCCGGTTTTTCTTTTTTTTTTTTTTTTTTGATCATTGGCAAAATTGTATGTAAAATAAGTATTGTGCAAGCAGGAGTGGAAATGGGTATGTTGAACACTCATTGGTTTATATACCGTATTTAGTCTGAAGACTTTCCTGAAGTATTTTGTTCTAAAAATAACCTGCCATTTTCTATAGATCTTAATTTTTTATATCTTCTAGGGTTCCATTGTGGTCACAAGGGAAGAATGTGGCTTCTAAAACTGCTAACAATTTTAAAACACTTTTGTAGAGACTTGAGCTGTTCTGGAAAGCTTTGGAGCTTCCCAGCTGCTGGTCACAGTGAGACTAAGCTGTGGAGTTTACAGTAGCATTGACAGTGGGGTAGGTTCTAGAGCCATCTCACATTCGTCTAAGACCCGTGTTTCCCAGTTTGGGGGAGAAGGGAGATCCATAGCAGACTGGGGAGGCTTTTTCAAACCTCCCACGTGTGCTCTCCCCAGGATTCTGTCAAGCCTCTTCTGAATGACTCGTCTGAGATTCTGATAGCCAGTGTTCACTAGACTCTTCTAGGGAACTTTTAA